CCATCCCAGTCCCTCCCAATCCCCTCCCAGTCCATCCCAGTCCCTTCCCAATCCCCTCCCAGTCCCTCCCAGCCCATCCCAGTTCCCTCCCAGTCCCTCCCAATCCCCATCCCAGCCCCTCCCAGTTCCCTCCCAGTACCTTCCAGTCCCTCCCAGTCCCTCCCAGTCCCTCCCAGTGACCTTGCCCAGTGCCCCGGCGCACAGGCGGCGCCGCAGGATGAGGATGATGAGGGCGAGCAGGAGGAGGATGATGGCGCCCAGGCAGCCCAGCAGGGCCGGCGACTGCCCCGCCTCCGCTTTGGCCACCGGTGGCACCAGTTTGGCCTCCCTGGGGGCTACTGGGAAGGATGGGAGGGGCGTCACGGCCACGCCCACCATGGATAAGCCACGCCCACTTAACCCACACCCCATTAAACCCCGCCCAATTAAGCCCCAGCCATTTATGCCTTCATTAAGATGCAACCCATTAAGCCCCGCCCAGATAAACCACACCCACTTAAGCCACACCCCTTTAAACCCCACCCATTTAAACCCCACCCAGTTAAGCCCCTCCCAATCCAAGCTCCACACAGAAAAGCCCCCAAGAGTTAAGCCCCACCCATTGACCACACCCAGTCCAGCTCCTCCCACTTACACCCCACCCAGTTAAGCTCCTCCCACTTAACCCCACCCAGTTAAGCTCGTCCCATTTAAACCCCACCCATTTAAACCCCACCCAGTTAAGCCACTCCCATTTAAACACCACCCTTATATACCCCACCCAGTTAAGCCCCTCCCACTCAAGCCCCACCCAGTTAAGTCCCTCCCACTTAAACCCCACCCATATAAACCCCACCCATTTAAGCCCCTCCCACTCAAAGATCCACCCAGTAAAGCCCTTCCCATTTAAACCCCACCCATTTAAGCCCTGCCCACCCAAAGCCACACCCAACTAAGCCCCGCCTACCCGGGGAGGTGACGTTGGTGGCTCCGCCCCCCTGGTGGGCGTTTTCCAAGATGGCGGCGGAGGGGTCAGGGGTCGGGGGCCACCCACTGGCACCCATGGGGTCGTCCAGCACCTCTGGGGGGGGGTGGGTCATTGATGATGTCATCAGCGGTCAATGACGTCATCAAGCGATGAGGTCATCACCGAATGGATGACGGCGTTTATTATCGGTGCGGTAATCAACGGTCGGTGACGTCATCAACGATCGACGGCGTTAGGATGGAATTGATGATGTCGTTGATTGGCGATGACCTCATTGGTCAGCCGATGATGTCATCAACCAACCATTGACCGCCAACACCCAACCAATGATGTCATCAACCAACCAATGATATCATCAACCAACCATTGATCGCCAACACCCAACCAATGATGTCATCAACCAACCAATGATGTCATCAACCAACCATTGACCCCAACACCCAACCAATGACCCCAACACCCAACCAATGATGCCAACACCCAACCATTGACC